AGATGCAAACAATGCCATAAGCTAAGCAATGATGGGGCTTTGATTGAACAAGGACAAGTCTAACAACCTAAATAATGCAATGGAAAGAAAGCATAAACTAAATGCAAAGACAATTAATTAAAAGCAAGACTCAAGAATCTAAGCAATTGTGGGACAATGGTTTTCAAGAATGAAAATGGGGATTTCTAACAAAGACAAACATCAAGCATTCAAAGGCAAGCAATTCTCAATGTTGTACTCCTAGAAAAGGTATCTAAAAAGAACCTGCTTGGCATCAATAAGCAGTTCATTTTCAACAAGATTGAAGTGTCAGACCCACTTGTGATGGCGTATCCTTCAACCATGAGCATAAAGATCAGAACCATTTTAGCCTAAGAGTTGTGCTAATCAAGCAATCATTCTCTCACCCAAGCAAGAATTCAGATCAACTTCTCAATCTTGTGAACCAATAAGGACCTAGTTAGCTAAGCACCAATCAAGAACATGGGTTTAAGCACACAGATGCAACATCCTAACAATGCTAAGCAATGAACAGGAATGAAATAAAGGCAAGATCTTTTGATGCATACTATCTAACCATCAAGCAAGAAAACCAGCATTATCTAACCCTAAGTGAATCATCTAGCAATGGTGAACTATCACTTTGGTGTCACTGAACAAAAGAAACATAGACCAAGCCAAACTATCAAGCCAAATAAGCGAACCATACTTAGAGATGAGATAACAAACCATTTAATGAACCATATGCATCAATCAATACCATATTCTTAAAAGGAGCAAGCTTTATGAACAATAACCACTTTGCAAAAGAATGAGACAACAGAGAATAGTTAAATAAGCCTAATCACCCTTTAATCACATCTTAATCACCACTTTCCCTACTTAGAATCCTAAATCTAAAGTAAACTACTCACTAATCATGTTTAATCCCATTGATTTGGAGTTAAACATAACTAGATGAGGTTAAAATGCAAAGAAGATAAATCTAAACTACCAAGGTGCAAGAACAAAGATTAGGAGACAAGATTAAACCAAAAAAATGCAAACTTTATTAAAGATTAAGGCAAATCGCCCTTTAAGGTTTAGAGAAGAGAGAGTTTTTGATAAAATGCTAAACTTGCATAAAGATAATGTTTTGTGGCTTCCCTTTTATAGTAGGGAGCCAAAAGAAGCATAAAAAAACTAAAAAGATAGGATAAGGTTAACAAAAGTCAAGTGGTCAACGGGGATAAGTTGCATCGAGGTCGTACGGACGATGTTCTGCTCGATATGCGACCTCGATATGGTCCGTGCAGCGCGTATCGACGTCCTTCCTCGATGCTGGTCCTCGATGCAGACCAACGGCTTCGAATCCTCGTGCTGATCCTCTTCCTCTCGTCCTGCTGCTTGCATCGAGCATACTCCACGGGTGTTCTGCTCGATATGCTTGCTCGATATAGACCAGACTTTGCAAGAGCTCCATTTCTGACATCTTCTTTGATCATGAGCTGCTTCCATCTCCTTCCCAGCTCCAAGAAACTCCAAAAACACCTGAAAACCACCACAAGCATGCACATATATGCAAATATATGCAATCCTAAGCTAAATGCATGACATGTTGATTCTAAGTGCAAATGATACTAAAATGCTAAACTATAATGCAAAAACAGAGGAAAAGACGCATGAAATGCAGCATAAAATGATCTAAAATAGCAAGCTATCAATTTTATGAGCACTTCTTTCCCAACAAGGGATAACAGTTTAGCGCTCCAAGAGGAGGTTTTTTGTTTGACACGAATTATAACATTTGAGAACATTTCTCTCTTCTTACGGCCAAATTGGTCAGGTATACCAAGATATTTACCACCACCACCAGTGTTCATAACGCCTAAGAGATGCTTTAGTCGTTCTTGTTTTTTGTCCATGGATACGTGAACCAAATGTAATCATTGATTTTTGTTGGTTGATTTTTTGGCCCGAGCACTTTTCATACAACTGAAAAAACATTTCTTATTGCAATTCTTCTCATTAGCTTGGCAGAAGAAGAGAGAATAATCAGCAAAAAGTAAGTGTGTCAGCCTTGAAACACCATTACCAGTTTTAATGCCATTAAGCCTTCCTTTTTTGACATTTTGATCCAAAAGGTGACTCATAACATTAGCACATAGGATAAAAAAATATGGGGGAAACAGATCCCCCTGTCTTAATCCTCTTTGTGTACAATATGGCATTGGGGGCTTCCATTAATTAGAACCAAGTAACTAACATAGCGAACTGTTCTTATTATCCAACTAATCCAGACATTATTAAACCCAAAAGCTCGCATAGTTTCTTTGAGAAATTCCCATTCAACGCCGCCATAAGCTTTGGACATGTCAGTTTTGATTGCCATGTATGTTTGTGAGACTTTTTTGCGAGATTTAAGAGAATGCATAAATTCATCAGCAATCAACACATTGTCAGATATTAGACGTCCAGGTACAAAGACAGCTTGTGATTCAGACACTATTTTATCTAAAAAGTTTTTTAATCTAGTAACAAAGACTTTAGATATAATTTTGTAAAATATATTGCATAAAGAAATAGGTTTGTAATCTGAAAGTGTTACCGGATTTTTAAGCTTAGGAATCATGCATATGTTTGTGTGATTTAATCTTTCTTTTAACGTTGATGTAGTGAAGAAGAGGAGAACCTCTTTTGTAACATCATTTCGAACCATGCCCCAACATTTTTGATAGAAGCGGGCTGTTAGTCCATCGGGTCCAGGATCTTTATCCGCCCAATGGCACAGACTGCTTCTTATACTTTTGTGCTTGTAATAGTACTTGTAATATTTTCATTAATATCAGGAGTTACAGTGGCTTTGTAGTCATCAAAAATGGACTGGTCGATGGTGGTATTAGTGTTGGTATACATGTCGGAGAAATATGATTCAGCATGTTCTCCTATCTCTCTATCTCCCTTGTAAATATTTCCATTTAGATCTTTAATTTTATGGTCAGTAGGAGTAACATTTGGTGTTGCAGAGCCAGTAGAATTTTTTCCATCATTAGGACCATCGTCAGGGCTATCATTTCGTGGATCATCGGAATATCATATTCCGTTCATTGGGGACAATCCTTGCTTTCATGTACCAGAATCCCACAGGTGATACAAAAGTTACAAAGCCTTTCATAGCGAAAACTTAGGATTGTGTTTACCCCTGTGGAGAATTGAAAATTACGTTGAAAGAATAACAACATCAATATTCCAGTCCATTTTGACGTGGACAAAATCCACCATTGGCGCCGCTTCGTTGAAGTCGATGTCGGAGTAGTCTCCTAGTGTTCCAGCAATGTACTCAATTAAGGCACGATTCAGAAATTCAGGCGGTATCCCACGAATCTGAACCCAAAGAGAGATGGTCTTAAGTGACTCCGGGGAAAGATTTGGTGCCCATTTTTTGGTGACTAGCATCCATTCATTGAAAGACCATGGTCCTCGTCGTAGGATGAGATTTACTTCCTCCTCGAACTGGAAAATAAATTGGAACTTAGTGGGTTCAACAATGCATTTTGTGACTGAATCACTCAGCCCTCATAGTCGAGGCAATTGACCAATCAAAGCACGAATATTCTGATTCTGGGGATTTCAAACGATACCAACAATTGTGAAATGATTGCCTCGAAACACTTGGTCGCAGATCGCTCTTAGGAGGTGGATTGGGGCTTCATCAAGTGCGAGATTAATTTCCTGCATATGTCGCTGAATATTATCACCCATGATGTGGGCAATTGGTGAAAAATTAGAAAATTGTTATTGGTTGCGTAAATATATGAGGATCCATGGCGGTTTCATGAATTGAGAAGATGCGAATGAAAGAAAATCGCCAGAGTGAATGCTCAAGGGACAATAACCGATAATATTTACCCAGAAATTTCTGTTTTTAAACCGTTAGAATGAACTCGCCAAACCAGCATTCTTGTAAATGCCAAAGAAATCTTCATCGGGGAGAAGGAGGGAGATAAAGAGAATTTTAGAGAGAGAAATTAGAGAGAGAATCATTTTGCGTATAATATTAATTCTCTGTTATAACATTATGCTATAACATTGATAATATAATTTTTTGTTTATTTTATAAAATATAGGATCATTTGATTGTTATATAAATTAATTTAAAAATTAAAATATCATGTACCTAATGTATGATATGGTTAGGGCAGAAATACCTAGTCACTATATAAATTTTATGTATCTTAACTGACGATATGATTAAGCTTGTATACTAATCTCAAGTTTTGGGTATACAATATCTATGTATATATTTATTTACATTTAATATTAGGACAATGATTAAATATTATTGCTTAAACTGTTTACTATTTATATACTATTGTATATCAAATGAATAAAAAGAAGACACAAATTTTATGTTTTTAATTTGAAAAGCAATAACTATAACCATAAATTAATGTAAATATTTTTCTTTGTAAAAAACAAAAGAACAGTTTTTGACTTCAAAAGCATTTAATCAAAAATTATTGTCCAAAATATTATAAATTTTTATTAGTAAAACTGCATATAAAAGCATAGATTAGTCTTCATAATCATTTGAATGTGATCAATGAGGGTTGATTGAAAGTCTATCTATTTATAAAATACAGTATATATTTGTAATGATTTTAGTACATGTAAATAATCATAAAACATTGTTTTGCAATTATTTATAATTACATCAATATAGATATTTGTACTACAGAATTTGAAGATCAAATTAAACTCGAAAATATCTTTGTAAATTAAAAATCTGTATCAAGCCACCAAGTAAAAATTAACACATATTATATAATAACAAAAATAAATGATAAAATCAGAAAGAATATTGGTTATGTAAAATTTAGAAATCACCAACTTTTCGTTCAAGTATCATTAACTTTAAAATATACATCACAGTATTAGTGTTAGTTAGCCATCAATTGATATATTATTATATGATTTTTTTTATGATACGTACGATAGCTGTAAACACAAGACCAAAATCTTGCTCCTGCTTTTCTTTTGAAGTATTTACCAAAGATTGATCTGTTTGCAATATTTAAAGTAAATGAAGAGAAAAAAATGTCGACAAAAAAAAAAAAAAAGTAAATGAAGAGAAAAAAAAAAGACAGCAACTTAGTCTCTCTACTGAATCTTCTGGAAACGAGGCAGACAATGCCTCTCACTTTCTCTCTTCATTACAAATTATTGTTCACATTCCAAAAGATTACAAATTACACTTCGCTTCACCAACATCAACTCAAACTGAACAGCATGACCTTACAACACCAAAGCCTAGAACATAGTTACAGTGATAATCAAAGGATTGGTTTAAACCCAGAATAAGTTCATCTGTTTGCTATCCGAGGCCTTGAGAAATGTGGAGCGAGTTTCTTCTCAAGCTCAACCAAGCTGTAAGTTATGTAAAAGCACATGAATATTAATGATTTATGAGAATTACACAAGTTTAGCTTGGAGAATCCGACTTACATCTCAAATCTGCGTTTAGCTTCTTTCTGTTTTGTACGGTAGAGGTCACTGTCTTTTGGTATGTTGCTCATGGGATCAGCTACAGATATTGTACCACGATTAAGAATGACAGAACACACTAACGAAACAATATAAATGAAACAAATTTGATCGAAAGAGTGTCACTAAAATGTCCACTATGCTATAAAATCAACTCCAACCAACACATTTTTCAACATGGAGAGCAAGAAAGTTTTGCAATTTGGTACTAAGCAACTCGAAGCAAGAGGAGGGTAGCGTTACCAGAGAGCGTAGATGTGTGTTTCTCGCCAAATTCTTTGTGAACCTCCATTGCAGTCGCTCTGCTAAGCCGGATTAATCCCTGAATCAAATGAGCAGCGAGCGATAACAGAAGTTAAGATCAACCCAAGAACGGATTCTACATTGCAAATGAACACTCGAGAAAAGATTAACATTTAGTAATACGACCAAAGAAATCAAGATAATGCAGAGTTTCGTTTACCTTCTTCTCCTTCCTTTTAAGTATCTTGAGATGGCATTTCTTGACATAATGAGTCAAATGATAACGAGAATGCCTCGAAGAGAGTTCTTCTTTAACATCTGGATTCGCATCGAGCCACTCAGAGATATCTTTAGATTTAACCAATTCTCCATTATCCAATGATTCTAACCACGAATACACTGGTAACCACTGATCAGTCCGCTGAAACCGAGCTGGATGTTGATCTGTATGGTTCTCTTCACCATTTTGCTGTGTCAAAATCAATCTTCAGCCCAAGAATTTCTTTTTCCAGATATTGAGAAAAGTCGTATTTCAAATATCGAGAAGACTACCTCGTTCTCGTCTGATTGTGTTGGTCTCATGTGAAGTTGGAGAGAATGATCTTCTTGATTCTCTTCGGCGTTTTGCTGTTTTGTTGAGAAAAGGCAAAATAATTCAACACATGATTTTTCCAGATATCTGAGAAATGTTGATCCTCAAATTCCAGATATCTGAGAAATTGTTGGATCTCAAAACTCCAGAAGACGTACCTCGTTCTCGTATGATTGTGTTGGTCTCATGTAATGTTGGAGAGGATGATCTGATTGATTCTCTTCCGCATTTTGCTAAGAAAAAAGGCAAAATCAATCTTCAAACACGAGATATTTTCCAGATATCTGAGAAATGTTGGATTTCGAAAAAAAATCAACGAGGCGTACCTCGTTCTCGTCTGATGGTGTTGGTCTCATGTAATGTTGGAGAGAGATGAGGCGATCGACGAGATCGGAGCGAGGCCTGCGACGGAGATCCGCCGGCAAGGAGTCGAAGTTGGAGCCGATCCAAGTCTCGACTTCGGTGGCGCTTACGACGGCTTTGGCGTCGGGAAAGGCGGTGACCCAGGCTCGAGCCATGGTCTCCCAGTCCCATTCCTGAGACTGCTCCGTTTGCTGGTTAGAGATTTTGTCATCCAACTTTCCACTTTCATCTTCTAGGGTTTCTTCGTTTGTCGAATTCGACATTTCTTCTCAGAGTTCTTATCTGTGATTTGATTTTAGTAAAGATTGAGGTCCCTTTTTTTTAAAAGAAAATACAAATAAAACAAAAATTATATATACAGTTACGCAATTGTATCTCAATGTCAACCTCAACAAATTTTTTATCTTTAAATAAATGTTGGATCAGATTTTATTATAGCGAATGACAGCAGGACATATGGATATTGAACAATTCTAAAACAAAATCTAACATCAAGAATTCATATAAAAAAGCATTAGTCCACCATCTGTATTTTCTGGTTTCATAGTGAACAAAATATAATAACCAAAAGAAATCTGAAAGTTTTGTATATTAAAAAAAAAAATTTGTTGCAAAAAAAAAGAGAAAAAATAGCAGTATAGTTCCCAGAGATATTGTTTGGTCACATAAACATTTGCACCTTAACAATTCCATCAAATAGTATTTATATATTTTTATTGGATAGTTTTTGGAACACCACCAAATCTAAAACAGCAAACATATTCTTAGTTAAAGCAGAAGGAAACACATTATTACAAGGGACAAATGATTTACGAGAAGAGATCGTATTATTACCCTATCCCTGACTTTTCTTTGTAATCAGCTTTAAAGAACTCCCATTTCTAGCTTTTAGGCTACGTGAGAAATGCTTTTTTATATCTAGATTCATAAATAGAGCGTTTGGTCAAAGGTTTCTTTGCCTTTACACAATAAGTAGGGACCAAAGTTTCCTTTCTTCTTATCTTCCTTATGATCACAAATGAGCTTTATTCCTTATAGTGGGATTTGATTCTAACATAAAAGATCCAAATGACGTCTCCAAACCACAAGGCAGAAGAAAAAAGTTCCACCCTTCTATCATCTCCAAAATATTTGAAAAGGGCCATCAAAACAATTAAGAGAAAATTAAAATTGCCAAAGAATCTATTTCAATCCCAAACGAAGTTCCACTAGTTGATTGAGAGTAAAAGAGGTAGCAAAATGGAAAATAAAACACCAATAGTACCACCGTGATAAACATTTTAAAAAGACAAAATAAGAATTGACATAACTATTTCAAAAGAGAAAAAAAAAACAGAATGACATATTGCATCGTGACTTTCTTCTTTGAAATTCATCTATGGAACTAATTATCTGTTGAAGCCACAACATCATCAATCAAAATAGTCTATTGATCAATTTTTTCTATGGAGAAAAAAATGAGAAAACAATATCCTTTTAGAAATCGCAACAGAGACTCTGTCGATAATGAAAATATTTCGGATGATTTATATATAGATTCAATCAATGGAGAATAGTCTGGAGTAGTGATAGTCTTTTCTACTTTTTTCTTCTTTTCCTTATCAGTATGTGTATATTGAAATTGAGTACTTATTCAATTTCATGAAAAAAGAAGAGAAAAGTTACTGAAAAATCATAAATCTATAGATGTAAGAAGATAATCACTTTTTCTATTGCACTCTCCTCCCAAAAATTTTAGTGTAGCTAATTTAGTGATGGATATTAGAGCTTGGTTAACCAAATTTCAATCTTTTGAAAATATTCATGTAAAAAGAGATTGTAATACTATAACTCATAGATTAGCCAGACATGGTCCTATTAATGGTCTCTTTTTCTCTGGAACTGATTATCCCCCAAATTGGATAACAAAATCTTTGTACTATCATGATTATATTAATTCTATATAAATCAAAATTTGCAGATACAAAAAAATAAAAGAGATGCGATCATATTTTTTTATTATATATATATTATTCATTTGATTATTGCAGATATTTAAAGAACAAAGAAGGAAAATAGTTATATATCTTTAACTATATTTTTAAATATTGATCAATCAAAGAGAAGGAGGTGCAAGTATTATAGGATTGCAACAACAACGACGAAAAGGAGAAAGATATAGACCTTCAGGATCAATGCAGCTACCATTTTTATAAGCCAATCCTATACAAAATTTGTTACATTCTGGATTATGAAATGTAGCTTTACATTCCTCGTAACAAGTCGGAGGCACAGTTTTCGCGTTTATTCTTATTCCTACAATCATGCAAAGTAATTTTAAAAAAATCAAAAGAAAACTGTCCAAATTAAATATGTTATTAATGTAAGAATCGAGAACAAAAGACACATACCGGAGAGAAGATCAAAGGCAATAGACATTACAACCAAGAGGGTAAATGTCACCATCAATTTTGAAAAACCCATTTAAATAGTCTATTGGACGCTCAATTTATTTTCTTTTAGATACTTAAAATAAGATTTATCTTTTCTTGAAGATATGTGTTGATATTGAGTTCAAAAATGAAAAATGATAAATTTATAAGTGACAAAGTGGTCACGACCATAATTTTCTTTTTCAAGTTATTTCTTTTCCTTGTGAGGGTCAAAGAAAGACATATCTAACTAATTAAGGTAAGATATTGAGGTGGTGCAAATGCACCGAGTGAAAATTTGGCAATTCTTTAACAAAACAATGAAAAGCTGCTTTTGATAATTTATGTAATTTCTTTAAACATTATATTAGTGTCCCCATAATAAAGTCTTACTTTGCTCTCATTTCTTCTCGAACCAAAGTCTTACCAAATCATTAATTTTTAATATTTAAAGTTAAACCTATTATGAAAAACATCTCTTATATATTAATTGAGGAGCATTTTTGAAAAGTAACATTAATTTTATAAATTATTTACAATGGTGCCATTTTGTTGATTTGTCATCACTAGAATCATTTTCAGCAAATATATAAAAATGGACTTATATTACTATATTAATTATATGTCATCTCATTCATATTAATTTGGTTATACATTAATTTATATTAATTATTTATATATAATTCAGCATTGAATAGTTTTTTTGTGTGCAAACAACATTTAATAGGTTCAGATATTCTTTTTACCAAAAATATATCATATTAATTATTTATTTAAACACTATGGGTTCCACTGGTATGTCAACTGAATAACAAAATAACTGAATAGCTGAATAATAAAATAGTGGAATCAATAGGATAGAAAAACTTAAAACTAAATCATATAGCAGAAATAGGATGCAAAAACTGAAAACTGAATAAATCTAAAACTCCAAAAAACTACTATTTATTAGATGAATAGCTTTTTATCTATACTAGTTATAATTTTAAAACGTGCGGGATAAATTCAAAGATAGCTTATTAATTTTTATTTTTAATTATTCTGTGCTTAATTTTGTGAATGGTATGTACTCAGTAGAACCACGTTTTCACTATATTATGAATGTTATGTATTCAATGAAATCATGTTTTCAAATTGTGATTAAGTTACATACCATTCAAGCCCTATATATTTCCATTACTTTTATTTAAACTTATTTTTGTAAACAAATAAATCATTACATCATCCATATTAGTAAAAGATATATATATATATATATATATATTGTTTTTTTGTACATGTGTTATAATTCAATTTTTAATAATAAATATAAACAACGTAAATGCTTCATAAATAAAAAAATATGTTTAGAAATTTTACACTGGAAATGAGGATGTGTACATCAACAAATGGTTGAAAAATCATTCTAAAAAACATAAATGATATAACTTTTTTTGTAAAAGTAGGAAATTTAATTTAATAGACATTCATATTTATAAATATTTTTGGTTTAATATAGTTTTTAATAGAAACTAAACTATATAAATTACTGACTGTCTCTAATAAACCTCTTTTCAGAGCCATTTCTTATCAAATTTGAAATTTCTCTTTACTCTGCCTTTTCTTGACTGGATACGAGCCAGCACCGGCCGATGACCAGAACTCTAGAATTATAGGTACTCCTAAGACGTGTGGGAAAAATTATTATGCTAGTCTTCATTGCCTATTGCTCTATCCATTGCATCGAAGTCCACCACTCCTTCGATTTCCACCCATGAAAAGGAGTTACCTTTTATCCGGAATTCCACCATACCAGTGCTTTTAAGCATAGTGTTGATAGGTGTGAAGGATGCATTTTGGCGTTTCTGGTCTCCTCTTACCTTATGATGGCCTGTGATTTCATTGAAATCACGACTCATAAACCACATACCAGTCCTCGTGAAACTTATCTGTGTAATTTGTTCCTAAACTAATTCACGGCACTCAATGACCGGATCACCATAGACAAAGGCCATAAAGACAAAATGTCCTTCAATCACAGCTTTTACATCTATCAGATGATTATTCTAGAACAAAATCTTAACATCAGAAGAATCCATATAAAAAAAGCGCTAGTCCACCGCGTGTATTTTCTGGTTCCACGGTGAACAATTTTTTATAACCAAAAGAAATCTAAAAGTCATGCATAAAAGTAAAACAGTTTTTTTTTTTGTTTCAAGAAGAAAAAATGAAGAAGGAAACAAAAAAAAGTGCAGCTCTCGAAGAAGTTGTTTGATCGGATAAGCACCTACACCTTGACAAATCCATGAAATGATATTCATATATTCTTACTGGGTGGCTTCTGGGACACCACCAAACCTGAAACAGCAAACGTATTCTTACTTAAAGCATAAGGAAACATCTCATTGCGAAGGACAAATGATTTACGAGAGGAGATAATATTATTACCCGATCCCTGGCTTTTCTTTGGTGATGCTCGGCTCCTGACACTATTAATCAGCTTTAAAGAACTCCCACCTCTAGCTTTTGGGCTACGTGAGAAACATTTTTTTATACCCAAGTCCATGAGTAGAGCGTTTGGTCAAATATTTCTTTGCCTTTACACCTGAACGAGTAGGGACTACCGTTTCCTTTCTTCTTATCTTTCTTATGATCACAAATGAGCTTTATTCCTTATAGTAGAGGTTAATTCTGGGATAGAAGATCCAAATGACGTCTCCATACCATAAGGCAGAAGAACAAAGTTCCACCGCTCTATCATCTCCAAAACATTTGAAATGCCTTATTTGAAAAGGGCCATCAAAACAATTAAAAGAAAATAAAAATTACCGAAGAATTTACTTCCATCCCAAACGATGTTCGACTAGTTGATTGAGGGTAAAAGAGATAGCAAAATGGAAAATAGAACACCAATAGTACCACCGTGATGAACATTTTAAATAGATAAAATTAGAACCAACATTAACGTTTCAAGAAAGAAGAAAAAAAACAGAATGTCATATTGCATCATGACTCTCTTCTTTGAAATTCATCTATATGGAAATAGTATTCTGTTGAAGCCACAACATCACCAATCAAAATAGTCTATAGATCAATTTCTTACATAAAAAAAAATGAGAAACAAAATCTCTTTAGAAATCGCGACAGAAAATCTGTCGATAATAAAAAATTTTCGGATGATTTATGTATAGATTTAATCAATGGAAAATAGTCTGGAATATTAATAGTCTTGTCTACTTTTTTTCTTTACGTTATCAGTATGAGAATATCGAAATTGAGTACTTATTCAATTTCATGAAAAATGAATAGAAAAGTTACTGAAAAATCATAAATTTATAGATGTAAGAAGATAATCAAGGATATACATAGTGACTATATAAAATATATTCTATATTTTAATTTTAATATTTTTATTAAAATATCTAAAATTATATATAACTGAGTCAAAATTGATAAACTCTTTAACATTTTGATACTCTTTTACATACTCCTAGAAGATAATCGCTGGAAGACTTCATCAGGGATGATAACCCTGTGTAAAATAAAGGTAATAATGTGGATATTTGACATACATTAGGAAAGTAGAGCAAACTCTAGATAAAAGGAGAATCGATAGAAGAAATCCAAATCTATTCACATTCAACGGCATAGTTCTGAGATCAAAATAGTTAACTAATTTGAAACTTTTTATTACAATTAAGGTCATAAACTTAAAGTATAAAAAATTTTCCCCTAAATTACCTCGAAAATTATGTGCTTGGAAGTTGGAACCCAAAATCTTATGATTAAGTAGATATCTCGTATGTAATGACTGTGTAAAAATTATACGAGTTGTAAAGCTCTCAGGCACGACTCCTAATGCAGAACCCCTGGTTCTCTCATGGTCATGCTTCCGACCTGAATCCTCTGCCTCTCACCGCTGGTGATAGTCTACTCCCCCCTCCCCTTGTTCCTCTCGACCCTCCTGATCCTTTAGCCTCTTTTCCTTTATCCCAGTTCCCACCCCTATCCTCACCACTTTCCCAAAAAACTTCTTCCTTCCCGCGTACTACTCCTCTCAAGGCGCCTGTGGGTAAGACTGGTGACAAGATATGCTCTAACACAGAAACTACTGATGTCGAGATGACTCAGTTGCATACTACCTCCCCTGAGGCTGCTGAACCTAGTTTCCCAAAAACTAGATCTGAAAATGTTACTGTTCCTGAAAACTTTACTGTTCTGAAACCTAGATCCACCTCCCCTCTTCAGACCAACAAAGCTCTTAACACAGCTTCCTCTATCCCGACTGCTGCTACTAAAGCCCAAGTCCCTCAACCTGTTCAGCAATCACGTGCTCAACAACCTACTGTTCCTGTGGAAAACCAAACTGCCAATGGTCCTACTTTGGCTGAAAGAACAAGGACGTTTGAAGATAGATCTTTGCGTCGTCTTGCTCCAATTACCTTCTCCGACACTGGTAGACCCAGGGTTATCATCCCTGATGAAGTCTTCCAGCGAGGTGAGGAACTGCACAGAGACTTCATCGTCTACTATTTTAATGGAAGACCACCTCCCTACTGCCAAATTTAAAGTGTTCTTAATCATATGTGGGGAAAAGGAAATAGGCTAGAGATTCACAACAACCCTCTAAACAGAACTTCTAGTTCGCATCCCAAGTGAATACCTGAGAACAAAGATATTAGAGAAGTGTCTTTGGCATATTGGAGACTCCATGTTCCATGTAGCTTAGTGGACGTCTTCTCACTCCCCTGCTGCTCCTCCGCTTGAGTCGATACAAATTTGGGCCCATATCACTGGGGTTTCCTTAGACCTTAGGCACCAAAAAGGGCTCAGCTTAGTAGCGGGATTGGTGGGTGAGCCAGTTGAAACAGATGATTTCACCAAGAACCTAGTCAGTCTGAGTATTTCACATGTGAAAGTGGAAGGAAACCTTACCAAGGAACTCCCGCGTGTAGTTGAGTTTGGGAGGCAAAGCGGTGAATTTGTTGAAGTCCTTGTGGATTACCCGTGGCTTCCTCCCTCTTGTTCTCATTGCAAAGAGTTAGGCCACATAGTCCGTAATTGCTTGCAGCTGCCTCCTCCTCCGAAAGCTGTTCCCACTGTCCCAAGAAAGGGAACAAAAACAAAGGTTTCAGAGCATGCTCCGCCTCCCAAGTCCAAGGTTAATCAGGCAGAAAATTCGCAAGAAAAAACAAAAGCTCTTGTTTCTGTTGGTGCTCAGTCTCCTGGTTCTGCCTCAGCTGCTACATCCCTCTCTGGAAAGAATGATTCAGTAACTCCTCCAGTTCAAAGGGCTCCCTTCACTTCTCCTATCAAACACTCCTGCCCTTTTCCTTCTTCAGTTCCCCGCTCCTCTTCTTTACCGCCCCTTGCTCCTGTTGTCTCTTCGTACATTTTGGGCCTCCCAGCTTTCATAACCCCCTCGGGAGATCCTTACCCCTATAGTCCCCCGCCTGCCATTAAAGAACAAAAAACTTTAAAAAGATCTCGCTCTAACCCTTTGCTAAACACTAGTCATTTGACCTTATCCTCTTTTGTCTCCCCTCCCAATATTCCTCTAAAAGAGCCTCCTGCTCTCCTTCCTTCCTCTTCCCCAGAAAAACCTTTTGCTCCTTCTTCATTTTCGGTTACGCAAGATTCTCCCTATTCAGGGAAATCTTCTCTTTCTTCCTAATGTGTACTAAACTATTTTTTTGGAATGTTCGTGGTTTAAATGATCCGAACAAGCATCAGCCTTTTTGTCAATGGCTTAATAGTCACCAACCTATAGTTGGCTCTATTATTGAATTTAATGTTAAGGATCTTAATCTTAACCAGCTTATGTCTACCCTTTGCCCTGGATGGAACTTTACCTCAAATCACCTGTCGGATGAAGATGGTCGTATCATTATCATCTGGAGAAACCCTGCTGCAATCCACGTCCTGCATCAGTCACAACAAAGTATCACTTGTGAAGTCAGCTTGTTAAATACTGCTCGGTTCATTTTCACGTCTGTGTACGCCTCGAACTTAAGCTCAGAGAGAACTGACCTTTGGGTGAAACTTTTGGGCCTTCAGCAGTCTCTCTCTCTTTACAATGAACCATGGATGATAGGCGGTGATTTGAACCAAATCCTGCATCATGTTGAAAATTCAAACCCTATCATAAACTCTTTCAATTCCAACATGACAGAGTTTAAAGATTGCCTTACACAGATGGGTATGTTTGACCTGCGGTTTCAGGGGCCTCTTTTCACTTGGTCAAACTGTCAGCCTGCTAATCCAGTTGCGAAAAAATTGGATCGACTTCTTGTCAACAGTCACGTCATCAGTCTCTTCCCTAACAGTATAGCTACTTTCCTCCCTCCTCTTACGTCCGATCATAGCCCTTGCCTTATTGACCTTGCCCATCAGCTTCCTTCTGCTGGTACCCGCCCTTTCAAATTCTTCAACTACTTAACCAAACATCCAGACTTTCACAGTGTGTTGCTTGAGGCTTGGATTCAGGCCGGAAGCTTTGCGTCCACACTCACTTACCTGTGTTGGAAGCAAAGGACCATAAAGAGAGCACTTAAAGAGCTAAATCGAGCGAATTTTTTCACAAATACAAAAGAGAGTGAGTGAGGCTAACCGTTTGTTACAAGTTGTGCAGGTACAAGCCCTTCAGTCGCCTTCTCCCTCTCTTTTCCAGCAAGAGCGTGTTCTTCATGACCATTTGAACTTTCTAAGGCATATAGAGGAGTGCTATTTTAGAAAAAAATTGAGAATCAATTGGTTAAAAGATGAGGACTTCAACACAACTTACTTTCATCGAGTCTGTCAAACTCGAGCAAGCTATAACGCTATTAGATCCTTCCTTTTGAGCTCTGGTTTGTTGTTGGTTGACCCTTTGGAAATGAGCTTTCACGCCATCAAGTACTTCAAGGCTATCTTAGGTCCAGATGCTCTGCCTCCTCTAGCTATTGTTTCGCCTCCCGAATGGATTCAAACACTCTCTTTTTCCGGTGCTCATCTTCCCAGCAACGAGCGATGACAACTGTCCCTTTGGTGTCTGAAATTACTAAAGTCCTCTTCAAATTGAACCCTAACAAGGCTCCGGGGCCGGATGGTCTCTCCTCCTGGTTCTATAAGGCTGCTTGGGATATTTTGGGTGATGAAGTCTCTTCCCCGATTGCTCACTTCTTCCAATCTTCCTTCATGCATGCATCCACAAACTCAACAATCCTTGCATTAGTACCAAAGAGGCCAGGTGTTTCTCTTATAACTGACTACAGACCTATTTATTGTCTTAATACCTTGTATAAGGTGATATCAAGGCTCCTGATTGCCCGTCTCAAGCCCCTGCTCCCTACTCTGATTCTCCCTAACCAAACAGCATTCGTAAAGGACCGGTTACTGGTCGAGAATACAGTTTTAGCCGAAGAAATTGTCAATGGTTACCATCAAGGAAAAGGGCCCAGGAAAATCACCATCAAAGTAGACATAGATAAGGCGTTTAATAGTGTCTCTTGGGAGTTCCTTTTCAACTGCCTCGAAGGTCTGATGCTGCCTCCCCAGTTCCTGAGCTGGCTCAAAGCTTGTATCTGCACAACAAATTTCACAGTAGGTTACAACGGAACAGTCCAAGGGTACTTTAAAGGAAAGAGAGGACTCAGGCAAGGAGATTCTCTTTCTCCATATCTGTTTGTAATTGCTATGAACTGTCTCTCGTTAATGCTAAATAAGGCGGCAGAGGAAGGAAAGTTTACCTATCACCAAAAATGCCTTCGCTCCAAGCTCACCCATCTCTGCTTTGCTGATGATCTTCTGATCTTCATGGAAGGCTCCTTGCAATCGGTCCACAACGTGTTGCAGATTTTACATGAATTTGAGTTGACGTCGGGTCTTGCTGTGAGTGTTCAGAAATCGAGTTTCTTTGCCTCTGCTCTCTCTCAGTATGAAACAGACCTCATCTCTTTCTCTACAGGAATGCCTCAAGGAGCTCTTCCAGTCCGTTACTTGGGTGTCCCCTTATGCACCAAGAAACTCAGTATCAGTAATTGTGAGATGTTAATCCATCAAGTCAAATCTCGGGTTACCTCTTGGTGTGTCAAATCTTTGTCTTTTGCAGGGAGGCTACTGCTTATCAAAACGGTGGTGGCTGGTATTACAACGTTCTGGTGCTCAGCCTTTATCATCCCTAAAGCTTGCATCAAGCGCATCAATTCTCTCTGCAGTGTGTTTCTGTGGAAAAGAAATATTGAGGGTCATCACTCTGCAAGAGTTTCTTGGGAGATAGTTACAAGGACAAAAAGTCAAGGAGGATTAGGGATACGAGATCTTCTTACCTGGAACAGAGCGTGTTGCCTCAAGCTAATTTGGCTTCTTTTCTTCCAAGCGGGTTCTGTTTGGGTAGCTTGGTATAAGAGTGAGGTGCTAAAGGGTGATCTGAATAACTTTTGGTCAACAAAACCGCATAAGGATTGGTGGTGGCTGGCAAATTAACTGCTGAAAATGAGAGATGACGCTTACCTGTGGATCAAACTACGGGTTCAAAATGGGCGAAGCTGCAGGTTCTGGACAGATAATTGGTCCCCTTTCGGCAACATTGAAGCATACCTACAAGGGAACGGGTATCGTAGACTGGGCATCTCAAAGACAGCTACACTTTCAAGTCTGCAGAATCATGGAGATTGGACCTTGCCTCCTGCACGATCAGATAACCAAGTAAACCTTCAAATCTTTTTGTCAACAATTACTTTAACAGAGGAAGAAAACTACTATGAATGGGAAATTGATGAGAGAGTGAGCTCCGTTTATAGCACAGGTCAGGTTTATGAGAAATTAAGGGAAGATTCAGAGTTAGTACCTTGGGATAAGGTTATTTGGAATGTCGGAGGCATCCGAAACACAACTTCTTAGCTTGGTTGTTCGTCTTGAATAGATGTCCCACAAAGGATCAGATAATTGGATGGGGACTCTCAACAGATCATCTTTGCCTACTATGTAGCTTAACGAGTGAAAGCAGAGATCATCTCTTATTTGAGTGCGAGTTTAGTTGGTCAATCTGGGAGAAAGTTGCCCGACGTTGTAGACTACAACCTTCGCGCGACTAGAATTGCTCGAGTTTGCAGATGCAGATTCTCCCTGGAGGTAAACTGGTGAAGAGATTGACATTACTGGCCTGGCAAGCTTCGATCTACTGGATATGGACTGAGAGAAATGGACATTTGCATAGACAAATCTATCGCCCGGCGGATGCGATCATCACCCTAATTGATAGACAGGTTAGGAACAGAATTACCAGCTACCGAGACAACAATCCAACCCTCTCCTCTCAGCTTCTCCAGCTTTGGTTTATGACGGATTCATCACCTTGATTTGCATGTGACTGCAACTTTCTTCCTCCGCCTCGAATGTTCGGGACTGTTTTTCTTCTTGCTCGACCAAAGATATTACTGGGCTGCTTTTGATTAAAATCTTTAACTTGTTTTTGCTGATGTTCTGGGCTTGGTCCGAAATACACTATAGCCCAATGGACTCTTAATATTTTTACACTTTTCATGCAATTAATATGAAAGCCTTTTTTATAAAAAAAAAAAAAAAAAATCTTATGATTAATGGAACACGTAATAACATAAAACAGAGGCGCGTGAGTAGATCTGGTAATTGCGAAAACGACGTCGCTTCATTACTACCTGCCTCTCTTCAAAGTCTAAACCTTCCCCAACTGCCACTAGCGGAGCTCCCAATGCTGTGATTTGTTCCACTTTGTTTTTCAAATCCAATTTTCTTCTTTCTGCAACAAAACCGTTTAAACTAATCAACCAATCCATTGTTTCAAAGTGCTTTCGTCGGTGTAATCAGATCACAATGGTCTTGATCCTCTGCTTTCTTCTTCGGTTCTCTCATTGACCCCGAATCATGGAGATTCCACTCGCGTTTTATCAGAGCTTAAGACTAGACGAAAACCAGAGCAATAGTCGAGAGTCATGTTATTCCAATCCAAAGGTTTTCAATTTCCCGCGGTTTTCTGGATACGATTTCTCGCTCCGCCGAAGAAGATGGAAGAACCCATTTGCGAGAATCACTTGCTCTTCTCTAGTTCAAGGGCTGAAACCTAAACCGAGGCTGAAATCGGAACCAATCAGAGAAACCGGCGGCGATGACGAGGGATCGAAAGGTCCGGTTTTGGACGAGACCCAGATCAGGAAATCTGGTGTTAGGATATGTAGTCAGATTGAAAAATTTGTTCTTTGCAATAGATTTAGGGAAGCGTTTGAATTGTTTGAGATTCTGGAGATTCGAGGTAGTTTTCGCGTTGGGGTTAGCACATACGATGCTTTAGTGGAAGCTTGTATTCGTTTGAGATCGATTCGTTGTGTGAAAAGGGTTTTTAGTTATATGACGAGCAATAATGGGTTTGAGCCTGAGCAATACATGATGAACAGGATCTTGATGATGCATGTGAAGTGCGGTATGATCATTGACGCGCGTAAGCTGTTCGACGAAATGCCTGAGAGGAACTTGTTTTCTTATAACTCGATCATCTCTGGGTTTGTCAACTTCGGCAACTATCTTGAGGCGTTTCAGTTGTTTAAGATGATGTGGGAGGAGCTTTCGGATTCCGAAACTCACACTTTCGCGGTGATGCTCCGTGCTTCGGCCGGGTTAGGATCGATTTCTGTGGGGAAGCAGCTTCACGTCTGCGCGTTGAAGGTAGGAGTCGTTGAGAACACGTTTGTTTCTTGCGGATTGATCGATATGTACAGCAAATGTGGGGAGATCGAAGATGCTCGACGCGTTTTCGACGATATGATTGAGAAGAGTACGGTTGCTTGGAACAACATCATTGCAGGCTATGCGCTTCATGGTAACGGCGAAGAAGCTCTGTGTTTGTTGTATGAGATGCGAGACTCTGGTGCTTCTGTCGATCAGTTCACGCTTTCGATAATGATCAGAATCTCCACGAGGCTCGCGAAGCTCGAGCTCACTAAGCAAGCACACGCTAGACTGATTCGGAGCGGGTTTGAGTCGGAGATTGTTGGGAACACGGCTCTTGTCGACTTCTATAGCAAATGGGGAAGAGTAGATACTGCAAGATACGTTTTTGATAAGCTTCCGAGGAAGAACATAATCTCCTGGAACGCTTTGATGGGTGGATACGCGAATCACGGTCGTGGAGCGGATGCAATTAGCTTGTACGAGAAGATGCTCACCGCGAAAGTTGCTCCGAACCACGTCACTTTCCTCGCGGTTCTATCGGCTTGCGCCTACTCGGGTTTATCAGAACGAGGATGGGATATTTTCCTCTCGATGGGCGAGGTTCATGGGGTCAAACCGAGGGCAATGCACTATGCTTGTATGATTGAGATATTGGGTAGAGACGGATTGTTAGATGAAGCCATTGCTTTCATCAGAAGAGCTCCGTTGAAACCGACGGTTAACATGTGGGCGGCGCTATTGAATGCGTGTAGGATGCACGGAAACTTGGAGCTAGGGAGAGTTGTTGCTGAGAAACTCTATGGTATGGAACCGGAGAAGCTCGGGAACTACGCGGTGATGTATAATGTGTATAATAGTATGGGGAAAACCGCGGAAGCCGCGGGAGTTTTGGATACGTTGGAGAGGAAAGGTTTGAGAATGATGCCGGCTTGTACTTGGGTTGAGGTTGGAGATCAGAGTCATAGTTTTCTTTCAGGAGATGAGTTTGATTCTTACAGTGAGACAGTTAAAAGGTAACTTATGTGAGTGCAATACATCTTTTGTTTGTCTTGATTTTGTTCAGTACATGAAATGTTGGAATCTTGATGATGAAAACAGGCAAATATATCAAAAAGTTGATGAAGTAATGGAGGAAATCTCTGGTTTTGGGTACTCGGCGGGGGAGAGAAATGTTTTGCCTGATGTCGAGGAGGAAGAGCGGCGAGTAGTGAGATATCACAGTGAGAAGCTTGCGATAGCTTATGGATTGGTGAATACGCCGGAGTGGAATCAGTTGCAGATAACTCAGAACCATAGGATATGCAGAGATTGTCATAAAGTTGTTGAGTTCATATCTTTGGTTACAGGTAGAGAGATTGTAGTGAGAGATGCGAGCAGGTTCCATCATTTTAAAGAAGGGAAGTGTTCTTGTGGAGGATATTGGTGAATCTATAAGTCCAATTTCTTGTTTGTTCCTGGATAAAGATATATGTATAACACAGGGGAAGTAGTGTGATCAGTGTAACGGTTTCTATTCTTGTTTCTGATTATTTTAACATTATTAATAAAGGTGAAAGCTTAATGAATGAATCTTATTCTTAATTTTTGAAAGTGCTTATACACAAAGAACAAATGGATTTTGAATTTTGAATTTAATCGTTGAAACAGAATTGTGTGAAGATATATTAATCGCTTATTTAGAATTTTGAAGTTTGAACCCTTGAAGAAAGCCCTTGGAACAGAGTTGTGTGAATATATTTTAATCTTAGAAAGAACAGAAATGCGTAAGTAAATTGTGTAACAGGGAAGAGATGAAAAGTTTATGACTATATTGTTTCATGAATTTAAGGTTGGATTCAGGAGATCTCACTAAACACGATATCAAAATTCTAAGCCAAGTATTATGTGGCTTCGACTGGTTAGATTATAAACTGATACACGTTGTAATGTTGCGGGTACATATTTAATAATAGAAGATATTTTTTAGAAATACATTATTGTAATATGATTTGTAAATCTTCATTTTTGTCAATTCGTGTTGACCATAAAATTAAATGATTAATTGTAGACTTTTTGGGTTTGTATTAAGCTCAAATTAGACTGTACTTCATAGATATCATCACTAATTGATTTGCATGTTCTCCTTATCTAAAACTTTACAAATCAGTTTGTTTAATACATTTTTAAACCGTTAGAATGTGTTTCTGTTAATGTCTAACCCATTTTTACAAAAAAAAATTGGATCTTAGTTCATTGCCTCTATGACATAATATCAAAAGTTTATATTTCATTGCTTACAAAATCAATTTTAAGAATTTAAAAAAATAAATTCTTTATCACCCTAATCAATATTGAAATTTAAATACATGCAAAATATAGTTTTTGTACGAGTTTTGAATATATACTTATCAATCGTTACAATATAGTATATAGTGAAGTATTCGACATTTGATATCCTATTTTGGAAGATGTTAAGTATTTGAGTAACTACAACAATGTACTTGAATATTATTGCAAGACTGAAAACATAGAATTGGCAAAATAAGAATTCAGAAAATATCTAGTCTAAATGTGGTAACTTATAATATCATGCATCATGGATTGCTAGAAATAAAGGAGTGTAAATAAGCTATGATCTTCTGTCCATAATGAGACATTATGCTGATATGTACATTTACAAGATTATGCTGATTGGTTTGTGTGATAACCACAAGTACATAAGTGCATCAGAGGTCTTCAAATGTGTGCACAAGAGTGAAGACACGAAGTTGAATACCATCATGCTAAAAGGGTTATTTAAAGGCAAAAAATTCAAAGAAGCATATGAGCTATTTTTCAGTTTACTATGGAAAATAATTCAGATTGATATGAGGAATCTACAATGTGATGATCCATGGATTCTGCAAATGAAGCATGAAATCAAAAGCTAAGATGATTATTTTAAAGATCATACATGAGGGTTTTTCCCCATATGGTTGTAGTTATAATCCATGGATCAGAGCTTATGTCAGAAATTGGGGAACTGCTGAAGCTGAAAAGCTCATAATATAGATGCAAAATAGTGGGTTTCAAGCAGAAGAACACACAAGATTTATGATCAAGAATATAAAGTTAGAAGAAAAACTGCCTGAACAATCCATTTCATTTCAGAAGGCATAATAGGTATAAGTATCTTAGTTAATAGCTAGCATTGCATTGATGGCCACATTGGTACTACATTAACTATTTCTAAGCATATTTAAGTAATAATGTATAAACAGTATGACCTCATCCAAGGTTGTTAGAATTATCTATGACTCAATGTCTTTTGTAAGTGTTGTGATTACTGGCTCATAACCCTGCACCATCACACCATGCCTCCCTGAAAGGTATTCATCATGCACAACAAAAACACCATTCTGAGCTTTTCCAATTTTCTTTAGGGCATTTTTGACAATCATCTATAGAAAGAATTTGTTGTTCTCTTTAAGATCTTTCAGTTCCAGTTAGTTATGTTCATCTTTATATATTCTATTATTCACAATGCAAACATTCCACTTAGTTAAAACGCACAACTCTATCAATTAATTAAGGGGGGGGGGGGAAACGATATGAAACTACACAAAACAATTTCCACAAAATTTTATTCCAACCTGTTTCAGGCTGCATTGTTGACCCATGCTAGAAAAGAAAAAACTAATAAGTACCTGCTTATTTTCACATGGAAAGTGTATGATACATTGATCTGCGCTGTCCAAATTGGTAGACCTACATACTTTTCAAAGTAAACAGATTATACTAATATTCATCAACCGTTAAACCTGAGCAAGGTGCTTGTTGGCCATCATTAAAACGAGACTAAGAAATCACAAGATCAGTTATGCAAAAATCAAGGAGGAAGAAACAGAAAGAGAATTTTGCTGAAAATCTAAATCAACTTCGAGCGCACTATTCTTTAGCCTCTTTGCAGTAGTTATCTCTTTTTAACAAGACAATACATACATAAATTTTAGCTACAAATAGCACCATTACATTTTCACAGTTTAAATGCAAGGGAAAACATGTCTGTGTACCTCTCCCTCAAATTGTCCACTGTTTTGGATATAAGATTATTTTTTCCATGTGTTTAATCTTGGATGGAAGCTTTGGCCGTCCTTTCACATGGGTATAAAGTTTTCTGTTGCCCTAAAAGAAGAGGGATTTGGTAGATCCCATGTACAGTTTCACAAGTAAGAAGTAAGAAATAGAGTGATATATCATGGTTTTTATGGTTTTTAACCATGATATAAGTTCTTTTTATTGAGTCTTTTTGGTCTTTTTAGAGTCCTCGTAGAGTCTTTGCAGGTTATAGCATAACTGGAGCATAAGTGGAGGTTTTGGAGCTTTTTGGATCATTGCAAGGATCATCCCCGAAGTAAGCAACTCAGAACTGTTGTCCTGCAGTGGGTGACGTGGGTGACGCTCGTCACCACTTATGGGTGACGCTCATCACCCACCCCTAAAGAGAATCGCGAGCTTCTATAAAAAGATTGAGGGGAATTTGCACTTTTGACCCAAGAGTTCTATTATTTACAAGAAGACCCCAACTCTTGTTTTAGCCTGTATATTAGGGTTTTTAGCTAATCTTTGGCAGATCTCTTGTATCTTATTTTTCGAGAGAGCTTGAGAGAGAGATTTGTAGCAGAGCTTTTGGAGAGACAAATCAATCACCTTCAGAGCATGTTTCAAACTCCTTTATCTTTATTTCTTATTTCTTTTATGCAATCTATTCTATTCATGATGTTTTCTCAATTCACCATGTCTGAGTAGTTTGTTGGTTAAATTAGGGCTTTTCAAAGGTTGATGAAGAGTTTGTAGAATTGCTAAACTGTTAGGAAATCCATTAGTTATTCATCTATGCTTGCATTCACATCGATTTCTTAGACACATCATCTGGATTTCAAAACCCTAGGTTGTTTAATAGATGTGAGAACATTGTTAATCACCTGAACTAGTATTAGATGAGCAAAATGCCTATTTGCAAATATATTTGACTTAGGAGTTTTGTGAATAATCGAAATCTGATCTTTAATGCTTGCTTAACTTGTTAGAATTTGCAAAGAAATTTGGAATTATGTGAATTAGGCATAGATAACTTCTGCAATGAGAATTGATTAGTTATATCATTGAGTTTTGAGTTTAAGACAGTTTAAATCATTCCTGCTTACATGCATTCTACATTCTCGAATTCAACCTGCGAATTGACCTGACTTAGCGCTTTTAGTTTTCTGAATCTTAGATCAATCAATAATCGCCTGCTTTCATTGTTTTAAATATTTCAAATTAAATTTATTATCTACTGCTTAGCCTAGTCTGAATCTATAATTGTTAGTATAGTTTACTTACTCCCTTGGGATTCGATAACCCCTTATACTATAACTGCTTTGCTTTGCACTTGTAGTAGTTTTATTTGGATAAAACCTGAGCCCTATCATGGAGTCCTGACATATCACAATGGTAAAACATAAGTACAGCCGATATTGTACTTGCATTTCCATCTTCATTTACATCTTTCAATTTTCTTTTTGTCACCTCCTTTCTACTGCCAAAGGAAAAATATCTGCGGAAGAACGATTGCCTAACCTCATTTGGTCATCTTCCAATTAGCTCACTCACTCTATAATAAAGAGCGTAGGAACTATACCTCAAAATTTTAATGCACCTTCGTCAGCAGCAGCAAAACATCGCGATGACTGAAGGCTGCACATTTATTTGCTTCAGGAAAATCGTAGAGATTGTGCTTGCTTGAAGGTTTACCACATGTTAGAATGCATGAGTGTATCATAGAATTTAGACTGAATAAAATATCAAGGATTTTTGTCATGACTATTCTTGTTACCACTACAGCTGATTAGGCCATATAATTTTGTGTAAGTATTGATGCTCTGTTGAGACAATAGATTGGTAAACCACTGATTTCGGATTCACATCCTGAATATTGTATAAAAATGATGCAGCAAATAAGCTTTCACATTCAAAATAAAAGAAAAATGTACTCAAAATTTTTAACGATTTACATCACATCATTTGATGGTTTATGATTTTTTTTGCTAAATTCATAGCAACGAGATACTACTAACCTGAACAGTTGCCGAAGACGTAGGAGAATATGAACATCTTTTAGAGCCTCTAAAACCCTGAAGTAAAATAGTATAAAACAATGACATTAAAAAGCTGCAATATTCTTACTGAGTTAAAGCTGCAACATGGCCATACAAATATTTTATTATTTCTATATATATCTGTTTTAGGATTCCAACTGAAGCCGAAGGCCTTCCATGTTTCTTACCTCCATCATGTATCATGGATTACTATGCTAATAAAGGAATGATCTAAACTATTAAAATCAAATGTCTGATGCTACAATAGCGTACTTGAATGTTATTGCAATACTAAAAATATGGAGTTGGCGGAAAAAGAATTTAGACA